TTGGACCCCAGGATGGGTGGTGGAATCATTAACGGTCGCTCCCAGCATTGCAGTTGGGTGTATCCGTCGCTTTAAGGTCCCTGCTTTATTCCTGGGAAGGTCTGAGGAAGCTCCGGCGATGATTCCCGCGCCCTGGTGTTTTGTAACTAATTAATAAATAGATAAAAATGGCAGATGTGATTTTTGATGCACTCTAGAGGTTAAAAGATACACCTGGTGTTAAAGGAGCTCTCCAGTTGTGGCCAATATTAGTAGAAGGAAGTAGCCAAAAGGATGCAAAATAAGACAGAAAAAGAAACAGTGAATATTCATGTAAGTCTAGTTGGGGAGAACAAATGTGTATGTGAGCGCCGTGAGGCTACCCCACAAATACACACTGCCCCCCCTTGCATATCCTGTCATTCCTTCATGTTAGATCGTCCCCTGCTTGAGCAGCAGGTTGGACTAGAAGACCTCCAAAGTCCCTTCCAGTTTCTATTCTATTCTGTTCTGTTCTGTTCTACATTCCATTCCATTCCCAATTCCTGTTGATTCCATTCCACAACACTCTGCTCTGCTCTGCTCTATTCCATAATCCATTCCATATTCCTTATATTCAATATTGCATATTGCATGTTCCATATCCCACTCCATTCCATGCCATTCCATTCCATTCCTTTTCCTATCCCATCCCATCCCATCCCATCCCATCCTATCCTATCCTATCCAATCCTATCCTATCCTGTCCTATCCTATCCCATCCCATCCCATCCCATCCCATCCCATCCCATCCCATCCCATCCTATCCTATCCTATCCTATCCTATTATTTATATTTTCTATTCTGTTCTGTCTCGTCCCATCCCGTCCCATCCCACTCCACTCCACTGCATTCTGTTCCATTTTGTTCTGTTCTACATTCCATTCTATTCCCAATTCCTGTTCCATCCATTCCATAATGCTCTACTCTACTCTACTCTACTCTACTCTACTCTACTCTACTCTACTCTACTCTATTCCATAATCCATTCCATAGTCCTTATATTCAATGTTGCATATTGCATATTGCATGTTCCATATCCCATTTCATTCCATTCCATTGCATTCCTTTTCCTATCCCATCCCATCCCGTCCCGTCCCGTCCCATCCCATCCCATCCCATCCCATCTCATCCCATCCCATCCCATTCCATTCTATTCTATTCTATTCTAGTCTATTCTATTCTATTCTAGTCTAGTCTAGGCTAGTCTAGTCTAGTCTAGTCTAGTCTAGTCTAGTCTAGTCTAGCCTATCCTATATTCTATTCTATTCTATTCTATTCTGTTCTGTTCTGTTCTGTTCTGTTCTATTCTATTCTATTCTATCCTATCCTATCCTATCCTATCCTATCCTACCCTACCCTATTATTTATATTTTCTATTCTGTCCTGTCTCGTCCCATCCCATCCCGTCCCACTCCACTCCACTGCATTCTCTTCTGTTCTGTTCTGTTCTATATTCCATATTCCCTTCCCTTCCATTCTTCATTCTTTGCTTCCTCCTTAGTTTGACAGATGACCCATTCTTCCCCCAGCCCAGGGGTTTCCCACCAGAGCTGGGGGCTGGGGTGCCACCACAATTGCTCGCTTGCTCGCTCCTCCTCGTGTCCCCCCCATCCCTTTTCTTCTTGGACGGTGCTCTTCCTGACCCAATGGCCTCACCTGGGTTGCCCTCTCCACCATTGGCAGCGGCTCGGCCGGGGAGGGGCCGACGAAACACTTCTGAGGAAGCCTCTTTGTGGCAAGGGGACCACGATCCTGCAGTGCATAGAAGGAAGGGAGTTGCGCCACCTGATGTCACCACTTCCTTGTAAGTTGGAGACCAAGGTGGGTTCGGGTGAAATGCGCCAAGAAATATCTGGTGCTTTTTTTTTTTTATCTCTGCTTTTATTCAGGGGATTGAATTGCTTTATTACACTCCTGCAAGAGGCCGAGAGCTGCCCAAGTGAGTTGGGTGCTGTAGAAATTTATATTTAAAAAATCAGAAATAATAGACCACTCCATTCCACTCCACTCCGTTCCGTTCCGTTCCGTTCTGTTCTATATTCTTTTTTAATTCTATTCTATATTCTATTAATTCTATTCTATTCTGTTCTATTCTGTTTTATTCTACTCCATATTCTTTTTTAATCCTATTCTATATTCTATTCTATTCTATATTCTTTTTAAATTCTATTCTATGTTCTATTAATTCTATTCTATTCTGTTCTATTCTATTCTAAATTCTCTCTTCTCTTCTCTTATCTTCTGTTCCATTTCCCATGTTATATATTACATATTACATTCTATATTTTCTATTCTATTCTATTCTATTCCATTCCATTCCATTCCATTCCATTCCATTCCATTCCATATTTTCTATTCTATTCTATTCTATTCTATTCTATTCTATTCTATTCTATTCTATTGTAATAATAATAATAATAGTAAAGTTGGAAGGGACCTTGGAGGTCATCTAGTCCAACCCCCTGCTTGGGCAGGAAACCCTACACCATTTCGGACAAATGGCTGTCCAGTCTCTTTTTAAAAACTTCCAGTGTTGGAGCATTTACTGCTTCTGGAGGCAAGCTGTTCCACTGATTAATTGTTCTCACTGTCAGGAAGTTTCTCCTTAGTTCTAGGTTGCTTTTCTCCTTGATTAGTTTCCACCCGTTGCTTCTTGTCCTGCCTTCAGGTGCTTTGGAAAATAGCTTATTCCCTCTTCTTTATGGCAGCCCCTGAGATATTGGAATACTGCTATCATGTCCCCCCTTGTCCTTCTCTTCGTTAAACTAGACATACCCAATTCTAGCAACCGTTCCTTATATGTTTTAGCCTCCATTCCCCTAATCATCTTTGTTGCTCTTCTCTGTACTCTTTCTAGAGTCTCAACATCTTTTTTACATCGTGGTGACCAAAACTGGATGCAGTATTCCAAGTGTGGCCTTACCAAGGCATTGAAGAGTGGTATTAATACTTCGCGTGATCTTGATTCTATCCCTCTGTTAATGTTGTTGTTGTTAATTGCGAAGTCGTGTCCGACCCATTGCGACCCCATGGACAACGTTCCTCCAGGCCTTCCTGTCCTCTACCATCTTCTGGAGTCCATTTAAGTTCACACCTCCTGCTTCAGTGACTCCATCCAACCACCTCGTTCTCTGTCGTCCCCTTCTTCTCTTGCCCTCCATCTTTCCCAGCATTAGGCGCTTCTCCAGTGAGTCCTTCCTTCTCATTAGGTGGCCAAAGTCCTTGAGTTTCAACTTCAGGATCTGGCCTTCTCAAGAGCAGTCGTGGTTGATCTCTTCTAGGACTGACCGGTTTGAACGCCTTGCAGTCCAGGGGACGCGCAGGAGTCTTCTCCAGCACCATAGTCCAAAGGCCTCCATTCTTTGGGGCTCAGCCTTTCTTACTACTTACTTACTTACTTACTACTCTGCTCTACTCTATTCCATAATCCATTCCATATTCCTTATATTCAATATTGCATATTGCATATCCCACTCCATTCCATGCCATTCCATTCCATTTTCTATCCTATCCTATTCTATCCATTATTTTATTTATATTTTGTATTTTGTCCCGTCCCCTCCCATCTCACTCCACTCCACTCCATTCCATTTCATTATATTTGATTCCGTTCCTTTCCCTTCCCTTCCATTCTATTCTATTCTGCCTTCTCTCTCTCTCTCTCTCTCTCTCTCTCACACACACACACACACACACACACACACCTCACTTCCCTGGGTGTAGAATATTAAAATTTGAAGGTACTTACCTCTTTCCGAGTGCATTTTGAGCAGAAGACTCAAAATCGCCTTTACTCCCGTTTCTCCAAATGGGAAAGGTCCGGAAAACCCACCCACAGACAAAAGGGGTCGGTCATCAGCAAAGTGAAGGCTTAACCCGGGCCTGATCCTTTGGTCAGCTTAGCTTTGGAGTCCCTTTGTGGTTGCCAAATTGTTGAGAGAATCGGTTCGGATCCGTTCTTTCTCCCGAGCCGGGAGAGAAGCAGTGAGGGAAAAACAAGATCCAAGGCAAGCTGCTTATGAAAGGGAGCTTCCCTTTGTTTCCCAGTAACAGCAACAAGGCTGTTCTTGGGGGGCAGCTAGCAAATTGTGTTTGTTGGTGAGAGAGTTTGTAAATGTTTTTGAGTTCTTTCTTAGCAATGTATGAATAGCTGTTCTTTTCAGAATTCTTTTGAGTCAGAGCCATTTCCTTCAGAGGGCCCAAACTAGCCTTTTCATCAGCCAAACAATAGGGTTGCCTTCCAAACTCCCCAGTTAAAGCTGCAAATTGTCCAGAAGGACGCAAATCTGGTTGGAAAAGGAGCAGATGCAACCTACGGTGAGCTGCGTCTGTCTTTCCTCCCGTGTAACAAAAACAAAGCTTCTATTGCACACCAAAGATTTTTATTGCTTGGTTTGTTGATTCCCAATACAATCATCCCATATCACTTGTACCCAATCCCTGATCCTTGCACCCTAGAGAAAGACTGCACCCTCCCCAAATAAATGGCTTTTTTGTGTGTCGCACTTGGTCTCCTTCCGAGGGACACCTTCTTCCTCGATAGCCAGGTTTTCCGAGGCTTCTTGGAGACCCAAGGGTGCTCCAGGTCCAAAGCAGACCCCACAGAAGGAACGGCCTCCCCGTTGGAGTTTAGTGACCTACACCCGTGGAGACAAAAATGGGGTGAGGGGCAGCAAGGTTAAAGTGACAGCAAGTGAAATTTTTATTCATTTTATTTATTCATTCATTTTTATCCTTAGCCGAGAGGCCTCGTCTGTGACCGGAATGCTTTCGTTTGATACCACTAAAAAAGAAGAACGAGAAAACCAAGAAAAACGCAGCATGGTTGCATCAAGAACAATCACGACCTGGATGATTGAGCATCGTAGACATTTGGTCCATGTCTGGGACTATCTTGGTTCTCCAACAGCCCCAGATACGGTTGAGCTGCTCCCTTGGGTCCTCTTAACCTTCCATTCTCCTCTCTTCCAGCCTCTTACCTTGCAGGCGCTCACAGTTGAACCGGCTATAAACACCATCGGATTCCAACCGGATGGGGGACACATTATCCTTGCTCCTCACGACGAATGTCTCATAGGGCGGGATGAGAATTTCCTTTTCGTATGTCATGGGCGAGATGTCATCAATGGGCACTCTGTAACAGGTCTTGATGGAGAACACGGTATCCGTGCCAAACGTTTCGGCTACCCCTTTCTCCGAAGATGAGGAAGTAAACTGCCCGAAGCGGATGCGATCCCCCTTGCGGACATTGAAATGGACATTTCTTACCCCACGGAAGACCTCGCGGCAGTTGCCCTTCCTGGCCTGAACAGCCGTGGTTAAGAGGAAGAAAAAGTCCTTGAAGGCAAATTGACTGTAAGACTCTTGGGATATCCCAGCTTCTCTTGTAGCCTTATTGAAATCCCTGGTTAGGTCTGTAGGGAGCATGTAAGCCACGATTGCAGTACCTTGCATTGGAGTGAGGTCGGTGATTGATTTGCCAACTTCGGTCCAGTGCTTTTTGGCTATTTCCCACCTTGCCTTATATTTTGTCGGTACAGGAATATATCCTGAGCTCTCACGAGGGAGCACCTTCGGGGGGTTGCAGTTAATATACTGGTCGTCCACGGAATTCTCGGACATGTCGAGGGGAATATTGTCGAGACACAACACCTGTCGGAGAAAAGAGAAGGTGTGAAAGGAGAGGGAAGGAGAGAAAGGAGCCCAAATGTTGGGAGAACCCAGACTGGCCCAGATGCCTTCTTCAACCCCCAAAGGAGCACAGGGTGGGTGGAGTCCCTGCGGATTTTACTCTGCTGTCACCCTCCCACTGAAGTGGTACTTCTTTATCTACTCGCAGGTGCATGCCTCCCAACTGCTCGGTGGGCAGGAGCTGAGGTGAGGACGGGAGCTCACCCGTCGGCAGCCCTTGGCTTTGGCTAGTCTAAAGAAAAGAAGAAACAGGGGAGACATGACAGCAGCGTTCCAGTATTTAGGGGGGCTGCCCCAAGGAAGAGGAGGGGGGCAAAATATTCTCCAAAACCCCAGAGGGCAGGATGAGAAATGAGGGTTGGAAACTGACTAAAGAGAGAAGCAACCTGGAATAAGGAGAAACTTCCTGACATGTAGTAATCACTCCTTAGTCATTGAAGGGTGCAAAGAAATTTATTTATTTATGAGACTTATATACCGCTTTAAGTGCAAGCACTCTCTAAGCGGTGTACACCAGTAAGCAAGGTATATATATATTTACATTGCCCCCAACAATCTGGGTCCTCATTTTACCTACCCCGGAAGGATGGAAGGCTGAGTCAACCTTGAGCCGGTGAGATTTGAACCGCTGACCTGCTGAACACAGTCAGCTAAAGTGGCCTGCAGTACTGCACTCTAACTGCTGTGCCACCTCGGCTCTTTATATAGAGGTTTACAAATAGCAAAAGATACAGCATGGCAACAGCATTTCATGGGCTAAAATCCTTTACCAATCGTCAAGAGTAAAAAGATAGAGGCCATAAACAGGGAAACTTGTTGTTCCACCAGCCAACCTTATCAAACTGGCAAGGTCACACAGACGTGCGTACTTTCACATCACCATGGTGATGTGAGGGGGGGAGAAGATAGATGCATAGCAAAGATACAAGCGTTGGGGGGGGCAGTTTTCTGCACGCAACTTT